CTCTACGGAACTACAAAATAAAGGCGTGTAGAGCTACACAGTCCAGGAAAGGTACACAAATGTAGGCATATATGATGCTACTTCATATACGAAGCCATCAAAAGCTTAATCCAGACTTAAGTAAATGGAGAATCTTCTGCAGATTTCAACAGTTTGGGGCTCCAAAATGGCTCAAAACTTGGGGAGGAGGGATGCTTTTTAGAAATGTCTAGATGACAACAGACTCAAACAGATGTATTTTTAATATCTTTAGCACAGTTAAGAAAGTAAATAGTTTTTGAAATTATAATGTTAAGGTGCAATAAAATAAAATACCTTGGGAACAGTCGGGGGCAAACATAATTTTTAGTATTTTCCTATTTTCCTCTTTTTTTTTTTTTTTTTTCCCCCCTCCTTTTTCCTGTGCTCTGTTGTATCTGGTTTGTTTGTTTCTGAAGCACCACGGGTTTAATTTAAGAGTTGTGAATCTGACTGGGGCTTTCTGAAGCACCTGAGGGCATCTTTTCCCCGGTGTTTTAGACATCAAGGAAGCCATCTGTATCCTTAAGGACCTAAAGAACTCTGACAGTCTGCGTTGGGGTAGAGGAGTGCAGTGACTTTGAACTGCAGAAGTGTTTGGAAGTTGGAGTGCTTTTAAAAATACTGGTAGAGAGGTGCAGTGAGAGTTGTTGGCTTTGCATTTAGCCTGAAACCTGTTTTTATAAGTTTGTATGACATTCTCATAGGCCTTGCTTGTAATAGTAATTAAAACACAAATACATTGCTCTACCAGTGGGTTTTTCTTGTTGCTTTTTCATTTATATAAACACAGAGATTTGTTGCTTTGATGTGTGTATGGAACCGAGTCCCATATTACTGGGAATTAGTTTAAATTGTATGAAAATGCTGCTTCTGTAAGCAATACTCATGAAGAGAAGCTAATACACATATTTATGTTAAAGCATGTATTTTGTTCCAGAGAAACACACAGCTATTAAACAGCGAATCCTACAATTCGGGGTGGGAGGAGGGGAGTTAAGTAGGCAGTGGAATGCTACTCTGAAGTTCAGTGCTGCAAGTTAACATTATAGTGGCAGTATCCAATCAGTATTTTTAATTCTTTTAATTACTGAAATCTCTAAAGTAGATAATGGTGTGGAATATACACATGTATCTGTAATAAACAACATGTATCTTGAAGGAATGGATTTAGTTTTGGCAACAACGTGATAGGGAGATCAAAGAGCTAGCTGGCATTAAAATGATTTAGATACATTTGTCATAGGCAGCTGTTATGCTAATCTCATTTATGCAGTTGTCAGCTGATAGGTTCTGATGAGCCAGCTTAGTGGGAAAATCATTAGTAGATCCCTATTGTGATAAATGTTATTTATTACTGTCAAATGGTATTAATGTTTGATTCAAAGATGGGAAATGGGCATCATCTACATGAAGTTCATCCATTCATGGTCAACGATGACAAAGGGAACTGTTGAATTCCAGCCAAAGGAACTTCATTTCTGTAAGAAAAAAGAATAATGGATTTAATTTGCATATGTTTTAAAAGGGTAATGAAGTAATATGATGTTTATCTTGGTTGAAGAGTGGTAATTTTTGCTGGCATGGCTCCAGCAACATTTGAGTCATTGTGCAGCATTTGCTGTTCAGTTGTTGGTTGTGGAAGGGGCTTTTCAAAGCAGCAGGTGCATAAGGGGGGAGAAAACTAAAATGATTTATTCATTAGGCCAAAAAATGAGCAATCTTGGTGTCTTTCCCCTTACCCTCCAGAAATATATTTGCAACCATCTTCCTTCATTTTTCTTTTGCTACATCCATTTCTGAGTTTCTTTTCCTATCTGTGGCATTGCCTCTTGAATTACGCATAGAACCACACAGATTTCCACTCCATCTTTGTTGTGATTTGACTTTTTTTCCACTTCACCTAAATATATAAATGCAGAGAGACAGTAGCATCCCTTTCCAAACTATCAGGCAGATAGAAGTTGGGAGTTAGGGGATGGTCACATATGGCTGTAAAATGGAGGGGTTTTGTTGTTTCTTTTTCTTTTTCTAAAAGAAAAAAACCCAATATTTTGGCAAATTAGCTGTGCAGCTGGTTTTTAAGTTGTTGAACAGTGTTCCCTCTGCTTGTGAATTTGCATGGAGACATCCCTCTTTCTCCTCTCTATTCTAATACAGCTGCAGTGCTGTAATCTATTTATATTTTTTTAAGGTAATAACCCCCCCCCAAAAAAAACCAACCCCCAAACCCAAAAAAACCCAACCCACAAACGTAAAACAAACTCATCCCAACCAAAACCTAATTATGGTGCAACTAATCCTACAGTGGCTAATTATAACTGTTCATTACCAAACAGGCATCAGAACATTTAAACAGTATTGTGGTCTATATTCTGCTGCTAGCATATTTATTTTTTTATACATAAATTAATTAATTCAGAGTACTCTGGAAGTTTTAGATAATTTTGTAAAGTTAATAAATAATGAAGTGACAATGGCAACCTAAGGAAGAACTGACCAAAAAAGTAATATAGTTAACACTAAGAAAAACAAAATCTCCCACCTCTTTCTGCTGGTTCTGTCCTGAGTCGTTCATTAATAGCCTTCATATTTAAGTAATAAGAAATTCCTAATGATCAAGACAATCTTGGTCCTTTTAAAGTCAGGCAGATGCTAAATTCTCATTGATTTTTTAGCAAGAAATGAATGCATGATCCTTTCATCTAGACATACTCGAATTCCTATGGAAAAAAAAGAGAATATTTTCAGTTGCTATTAGTGGTATTGGAGCATGGATGGAGATAGGTACTATATGCAATTCTGTAAATTAAATCTAGTAATTTATATTTTGCAAATGAACTGGTAGCAGTTAATGCTCTGTAAAACATGTAGATAAAATACTACAGGGGGTTATGCATGTCTTGACTCTAAAGAATTTGGATCCTCTTTTAGTGATGTATCTGCTCTAGATCAGTGAAATTTTGGGAAGTTTTCAAGATTAGCTCTAAAAAGGCATCTACAGTATTAATTTTTGAGGTTATTAAAAAATGTGTTGCTATTCAGAGATCTGCAAAGAAAGCTTGCAGTGCTGCAAATAAACAAAAGCATCCTGTAAACTGCTGCTGCTTAAAGGTTTTTCTGACCAGTCTCAGCCCCATATTTAAAATACCTCATGAGGCTGTTCTCAATATCACACCCATCTGTCTGAGGCAGAAGTCTTATGTTGGCAACTGGAGTCTGACATCCAGAATATGAGATTGTGCATACCCAGTGGGTTACCATGCTACCAGACAGCACTGAACAGGCTGGTTTTGTGTGTTCTCTAGGTGCATATAGGAGCAGATGTTTGCTCCATTTACAATCTCTCAAGAAGCTGATCTTTCAGAGTGGTGTAGACATAGCTGCTGACTATTTGAGACTATTTGCCTAAGTGTTGTGAAGGCTTTCAGACCTCATAAACAAGACTTACCAAAGATCCCCAAGTTACCAAAACATGGATTTTGACTTGCTACAAATTACCACAACACTGCTGCCTCATGATCCATGTTGACTGCTGTCTTAGTACTGTATGAGAATCTGCTCCATCTTCACTGGGATTTTTAGAGCAAAAAAATGTTCCAATAAATATGTATAAGCTGTCTCTCCAAACAGCTGCATCTGTTGGAGGCTGTTGCAGCTAGCTCTCCAAGTTTTCTGAGTTTGAATTTGAGTCCATTTCCTTTGCTCCCTCCCCCCATGTGTGCACTTAGATAAGCGGTTTCCTTGGTTACTTCTGGCAGAAATTACAGTTGACCATAACCTGCTATTAGGATGCTATTTAGTACAATACCTGGAATGTAAAACCTCAGATCTTATCTGTATCCTAATTAATTCCTGGCATTTCTCAGGCTTTTTTTTTTTCTTTTTGCCTTTTTTTTTTTTTTTTTCCCCCTCCCTTAGCTGTGAACATACTAGTTTGAGTTAAGATAGATTTAAAAATCTTTCTGTGGGAGAGCACATATATCTTTAGCTTACTTTGATAGTTCTCTGAGGCTGTTCCTTAAAGTAGATAGATTTGTCTCAATCTGTCTTTACATTGAGATGTGCTGGGCTTGCTCCATTTGTTGTGGTAAGAGTTGCTTTGTAGGTCATAGGAGATAAACGTAGATCTTGTTGAGAGATTGCTTGTCAAACTGTGTGATATATTCCATGACTACTAACTTCTGGAGAGTGTGGGATTGTTATGACATGTATAATATACTGTAGGATTCATTCTGAAACCACTGAAATTCATCACTCACACACTGGCATATTGAATCAGTACTTTATCAAGGATACTGAAAGTAGCTAAAATTGCTTCCAGCTTACTAATAGCTAGTTCACTAGTTAACTCTGACATCAGGATTATCTCTGGAAAAGGTGCAAAATAGAAAGGAACATGTTTCAGTAGGGTTTTTTTCTTTTCTCCTTTCTTTTTTCATCTCAGATGCTGCTTGCCTTTCTGTGGTGTCACTTATAGCATTGGGGTCAATACTGTGGTGTCACTTACAGCATTGGAGTCAATACTGTATTTGTCCTGCACCACTGTGGACCATATTTGTAAGGCAAATGACTTTCCATTTGGCAGATTGTTCTTGTAATATTTAGTGAATTCTAGGTAAAACTTGATTTTCTGTTAAGAGGTGACAGTTTTGTAGCTGTAATATGGAACAGATTTGTGCTAGTTCTCTCTACTGCAGAGGATTAAACGGTATCTTGTGAAGTCATCCTTAAGCTGACAAAATATATTTTTGCTTCCTAAAAAGAAAAAAAAAAATCACCTGCTTTAGTTAAGAATTTTTGTATGTGAGATGATGAAACTTTTCTTGGTTGTGTGCAGTTTGTTGCAAGGACATGTGACCTAAGAGTTATCTGCAGAAAAACTTGTGGATGATTTAAGGAGGGAAAGGCAACAGCTGCGCCATCAGGGATTTGCTGGTTTGACATTCAGAGAGAAGTATCTTAAAGAAATTGGAGGAAAACAAGCTGTAGGATCAGCCAGCAACAATATTGAGGACAGGGGAAAAAGGAGATGCTACTGTGATCTCTGTAGAAAGCAGTAAGGCAGTGGAGCAATGAACTTCTCCTTCCATCCAGATCCAGTCTTGTGGTCTGAGGCTGGTAAGTGGGATAAAGAAAAATGTATCTCTCAGCAGCCTGATGCTGCACCTCAAGAGGGCCACTCCTTCTGCAACCTTTCTCTGTGCCCCTGCCCCCTGCCCAGTCTGGCACGGTACAGGGAAAAGGTGAGTGGGTTACTGAGAAGCTATTATTGCTGATGGAGAGAGGAAAAACAAGAGAGCAGGAGCAGCAATTAAAGGGAGGAACTTAAAGGCAGATATTAGGGAGAGGTTTTTTTTAAAGTCTTAAGACAAATACGCAGGTATCTTTGTCCATTTAGAAATTAATCAGATAATGATTACTTTGAATTTGATATCAGTGACGATAGGCATTTAAAATATGTGATGACATGTACAGTCAGGGAGCAGGGGAAATGGCTTATTCACTTAAGGATCTGTTGTAAGAGAATGAAAAGTTTTTTTCTGTCTTGCAGGAACTGTAAGTAAACTGTAAGGAAGATTGAAAATACTCAAATAACATCTGTGTTAAAACTGCAAAGGTTTTCAGGGCATGTACTGTATTTTTTTGGAAACATTCCTTTTGTACTTTGTTTGGCATCTCATGATGCATTTCAGAACAGCTTGGATAAAGTCATCAGTTGTCATCTACTTTCTGATCAAAAACTGGTGAATTAGTTTTTGACAAGTCTGGTCTGTATCACTATCCTCTGCTCTGCTCTCTTAGGCTTGCTTGCCTGTAAGCAAACATCTGTGTAAAATTATTTGCAATCAGCAGTGATGCTTTCTCCCTGCAGACACCATAGGCAGCATTTTTATAAGTTTACATGTAGACAAATCCCAGTATACATAAAGGCTGAATCTCCAGACCTTTGCACCTTATGAAGTCATTCATGTCAATGCAAAGCGAGAGGGAAATCACTCTAGACTGTAAGGAAGCCTTCTTTTAATTCCTGTTTTAGGCCTGTAATACATTAATGGCCATTAAAGAGCATAAATCTACAGGGAATGCTTTAGAAGGACCTCATGCATTCCCCTAACTAGAGCCCTGATACCATTCTCTACCAATTTAAATTATTTTCTTTCAAAGCCAATGGTAATGATACAAGGTATTATCACATGATTCTGTTTATCAGATACATATAACTCTCACTTAGAAATCTAAGCTCGGTATAGAAAATAAGTTAATTGTTGAATAACACTAATTATGCGAGATGTTACAGAACTACAATATAAATGAGAATCAATGGAAGCAAAATATTTTTTGTTCCTTCTGAGTACAACTAAATAGTTTATGTAGGGAATATAATTATCCTCTGAAGTGGGCAATACCATTTAGCTAGTTTAGTTTACCACTGCTGTACAGTTTTTACATCGCAAGTATTTCTAGGCTTTATATAATGCCATTGGCTTGGTTTTCTACTTTGGGTTTTGGAAATTATTAAAATTGTTATGATCCTGTTTCAGTAAGAATTGTTCTCTCTCTCTGAGTAGGTCCTATACATAGGTAGTCTGAATACCTTTTCAGTTTCCCAGTAACTGTGATTGGTCAATTGATTCTGCTTTTAAAAAGTTTCTGTATCTGATCCAGCATACTGATAATCACACATGTATGCATGTACACACACATCCTCACAAAATCCAAATGCATATGCTTCTCTTTCATCTAGCATCTTGATTTAAGAGGATGTAAAATCCAGGTTTATATCATAAACTTTTCATGATCTGACTAGGAAATACAACAAATGATAAAAGTTAACAAAAAGAAATGGTCCAAATACTTTCCTTGCTTGCCGGGTGATAAAAATAAAAGAGTACTGCCAGATCTAATTAAGTTTGCTGGCTCCTCTCCTGTTTTTGAGCTACTGTCAGTGATCTGTTCTTGGCAGAGGAGATATAGATCAAATGCAGGAGAGCCTTCACAACAAGGGGTTCCCTCCAAAAACACGTTTTCTACGGTTATTCTGCTTGACCAATGAGATCAGGCAGGTCTCCAAGGGAAGACTGGCATCCTCTGAACTCCTAACACCACTTCTTGTAGCACTTAATGCTTTCCCAGGAGGTGGTTAAAAAAGATAAAATTTGACAGTACATCCAAGTAATAAGTCTTTCACTTCTATTTTTCTTCTTTCCCTCTCTCCCTTCAACCTAAGGCATTGCAGCTGAATTCCTTTGAGACTATATTAGAGCTAATGTGAGCCAGTCATGTTTGGATAATTAATGAAGATGACAGGAACACAACCAGTGTATTTGCAGGTGGTTATCCAATCAAGTGAACACATCTCTCCCAGTTCACTTTATCTGGCTGGTCAATAGCTAGGGTGGTATTTAAATTATTTCACTGCATTGCTTTTGTTGGGATTTCGATCTGTAGTAGTTAATAAAGAGTCACTTTAAGGAGACTGAAATTAGATTACATTACAACCGACACTTCTAGAATTAATTTTACAATTCATGATTTTAATTTTGGTGAAAATGTATTTAAAAGTATCTCTTGTCAAATTCTCAAACATAATGAAAGTTGGTAATCTGATTAAGCTGGTTTGGGTAGTTACTAAGGCTGATATGAAAAGACTATTGAGGCTAAGAAAATAGCAGATTTAAAAAAAAAATTAGCAGCATTGCAACAAAAATCATATAATGTTTTATAAATCTGGTCACTTAACACAGTCATGCCATGTGGTAATTCTGAAGATATTGCATATATTAAGAACATTCATAAGCAACTAAGGGTCAGTCTCTTCTCCTCTGAAGCTCATAAGAATCTGATTTCCAAGAATCTTCGATTGAGTTTGGCCAGACCTGGATAAAAGAACCAAGGCTGTTTTGGAAAGAAAGCTGGCAAGCTGGGGGAATGAGGGGTGGCCTTGCATATTGTGTAGTCCTTGTGGAATAGCATGATTTCAAAGGATGCGCTGTGACAAACTATGTTACCTGAGTCATAAACAATTCCTTGCAATTTCAAAACCTTATTAGTAGGGTCTTGTTCAAGGAGTAGCTATGCCATTAATATGGGCTTGGACAAGCATGCAGCAGGAGTAGATGAGTTATTAATTCTAATATCTTGATTTTTTTTTTTTCCTCTGGGTAACTGTGGTGCTGACCATCACCTGCCCGGTCACCCATAGAGCATGGTGTAAAATCACTTGTGATACAGCAGTACTGCTACATGACATCCAGCACTCCTGACCATCACTTCATATAGCCACTCTGATAATGCTGGTCATCATGATACTTAGTTTTCTCTCTCCAATTATGTAATCAGTAAATAGATTTATTGAAGCAAATAGCTTTCCTAAATTCTCTTCAACTCACTATATTTCCTTCACTCTAGGTGGATAGATTTTCCCATGTATTTTCTTCAATATTCTGTATATTTGAAAAAGATTTTCATCTGCTAGGATCTTTTTTCAAAGAATGCTAGCTACTCACTCCTTTGTGAACTACATTTATTTTTAGAGTTTCTCTAACACTGAGTGCTCTTTTAATATCTTCACTCTTATAATATTATTCTTATACTAAAGGGACAAGAACTATGGCCATATTCCAAATGCTGCTTCAAGTCCCCTATGTAGTATTAGAATGATTTATTCCAAGTCTTACTCTTGTTTACTATACATATCCTAGGAACTCTCTTGCCTTATTAATGTAAATACTGCTGATCCTTGTGCAGATGGTTTTAAAGTTCTTTCCAGCACCTGGACCATATTCAACTCCTGTTAAATGTTTTGTGGTGTATGACCATTGAGAGCGCACCTTTTAGTTTTCTTTGGTCATCTTATAACCTTCTCTTTCTTTACAATGATTTGCAGATGCCAGTGAAACCACTAACAGTATCAGCCTGTGATCCTAGTCTATTTGTCATTCAGAATTTTATTGCCATTCTCTTTTTGTCTTTACAAGCTCTATTCTCTGGTTTTGTTTCATCAGCAAATTTCTTCACCTTCATACATATTTCATGTCCTAGGTCAGTGATATATAAAATGAACAAAAGTGGGCCTAATACTGATTCTTGTGGCATTCCACTAATCCCTCTCTCCCAAACTGCTTTGCCTCATAAACAGCTTCTGTCTGTGACATTTAAGCAAGTTCCCTATCCACATATGTGGCTCACCCCAATACCATACTTAATGACTTTGGACCAAATGCTCTTTTCAGTTGTGTGGTGCAGAGGGAAATAAAAGACTGAAAGAAGGGCAGAAAGGGAATGGAGGAGGAAGCAGAGACTTAGTGACCTTTCTAAAATCCATGCAACTTAAATTCCTTCTGCTGTGTCTCCTCAATTAAACTTTATTTTTTTTCAGGTGACTCTTCCACTCTGTTTTTACTCTTGAAGGTAAACTCTCAGCTTGGTGGCTCAAGATAACAATTTAGTTATTTGTTTAGATGTATTGGTTTTATTTCATGATTTTTGGTTACTATTTCACTTGTACTTTTAAACCGTTTATCCTGAAAGCATGTAAGTTAGCCCGGGTTAGTAAGGCAAGAAAATAAGCAAGTCCCATTTTTTTTGAATTTAAGTTGAAAAGGGGACAGTGTACAATAAAAGTGTTTCTCATGTTAGAACCAATGCAAAGTTTTATACCAAACAGTTATAAAAATTACTTAGATCCTTAGATTACTTAGGTCACGTTTCTCTTTTCAAAGATCTTCTTCTTTCTGCCTGTCTCAAGACCTTTGAGCTACCTTCTCGTTGTCTGGAAGTCATGTGTCTGCCAGTTTCTTCGTGGAGCTCCTTTATGAATAATGATTAAAGAGTTAGAGGGTTTTAGTACTGTATAATTATTATTTTAATAAATTATTATTTTCTTTCCCGTGATGGGTCTGTGGTATCTCCTATGTTGATCTCTTGGTTTTCATGTGGAGTAACTGGATGGTATTTTGTTAATCCTAACTATTTATACTATTCACTTTTTCATTCTTCAACTCTGTTTTCTTGATATATAATATTTCAATTTATCCTGTACACGCTTTTTTTTTTTTTTTTTTTTAAATAAAGATTTGTGTTGGTTTTGTATCTCACAATGCAGCCTTTTCCTTCTA